GGGGAATGAACCTGCTTCTTCCGGTGCCACTAAAAGGCAAGAGAAACAGACATTGGTATAGATTTAGTCTGGGAAAGGGCATGGAACAATGAAGAGGGCAAAGAAGCAAAGACGGGAGTGGTTGAAGTCTGGGGTGGGGAATTAAGGCTCAGGTTGCAGTTATCTTTACCTAAATGTGAGACTGTCCTATGTTTTGCCCACAGTGGGTGGAAGCTGCAAGTGCTGGATTTACGGGAAGTTGATGAGAACTTCTGGAGCATGTGGTGTGGAGCCCCTGTGAGTTCCTCACTGGCCATGAGTCAAAGGCAAATAGGGGTGGACTGTTCATGCACAGGAAGGCAGGGATGCCTGAAGATGGTAGTATATTTCTGTTTTGGCTTCCGAGACATTGTCCTACAGGAAATTCTCATGCATGTCTGTGAATGGGCCCAGCAGAGGAAGGATTTAGTACACCTATGCTGTAAGCAGTTGGTCCTTTCTGTAAGGTACTTCAATAAAGTCAGAAAGTTTTTAGAAATGATGGACCTGAACTGTAGCCAGGACATTGAAGTGCACACCTACCGGGAGATGGATAGTCTAGAACAATTTCTCCCTTATCTTATTCAAATGAAGAATGTTCGGAAAATCATGTTCCGCCACTTCCCCGGGTGTATCTACTGTTCACCAAGGATAGGGGCAGAGATCATGTGGGAACTGATCTCTACATTCCGCAAGCTGGACAAGCTCCAGAAGCTTCACCTGGACATGGTGAATTTCTTCAAGAACCATCTGCAGCAGTTAGTCAGGTGAGCAAGGATGGTGAGCTTGCTCTGCAGAGCAGACCAGAGCTTCCCTTGTGATAGTAAGCACTAAAGGACATTTACTCTGTGCCAGTAACTAGGTATATAACAGCGAAGGACACACAGGATGTCAAAACCTTGTTGTGTTCACTTCTCTGTCCTGAAGCAGATGTCACGTCACCTCCCCAGTGAATGCAGAGGGTTGAACTGGGGTAGAGGCTGCTCTGAGGGACAGTGCTGGACAGCTAGCTACAGGGGGCTCTGACACAGTGAGGGCAAGTTTGAGAATTACTCTTTATGAATGTGACTAACTCGATATGCTGACAAACAAGTTACACCAAGGTTATTGAAGCAAGATAGGACAGCCCCACCTGGGCAGTGCACACACAAGCTACATTCCTGCCAGCGTAGTGACCGCCATCCAGTCTCTGACTGCCCGTCTGTCACAGGATGTCTGAGCACAGGACAGGTAATTAACATGGGAAACACATGCTTGTGGAATAGAGGGTGAGGGAGCAGGACTCAAGAAGTGTAAAAGGGGTTTGCTGATGACACAGGCATGTCAGTGAGCCCGCAGGCCGGGAATCCCAGCTGCTGTTCCTGGATCTTGTCCTGCCTTTTCCTTTAAGCGTGTCTCCCAGTGGGCTCATGTAGCCCAGAGGCGTGGTTCGCTGCCAACAGGAGGGCACAGCTTTAGAGGTTCTGTGGGCTTGACCCAGGGGCACAAGTGATGGTGGGAGGAGTCAGCCTACAGTGGGACAGACCAGAATAAGAAAAGTCTTGCACACAGCACCCTGGGTGTTGGCCATCATGAGGCGATGAACGCTAGCTTGTGTTTGGGTGACACATTATACTATCCTGAGCTGCTTCTCCACCACTGCTATTTCCAGGACTAAGTGCTCCCTCTCCCCAGGTTCCTCAAGAACCCCTTGGTATCCTTCACAATAACTGGGTGCTGGATTTCAGAATCACAAATGGACCGCCTGTTCCTGTCCCCAAGCATTCATCAGCTAAAGGAGCTGGACCTGACTGGCACCATACTGAGCGATTTCAATCCTGAGCCGTTCCAAATTCTACTAGAGAAAGTTGCAGCCACCCTGGAGGTCCTCATCTTGGAGGACTGTTGGATCACAGACTCCCAGTTGAATGTCATCCTCCCTGCCTTGAGCCGCTGCCACCAGATCATCAACACAACTTCTGTGGGAACCAAATCTCCAAGTCTGTCCTAGAGAACCTGTTGCACCACACTGTAAGGTTAGAAAGGTTAAACTCAGTGATATTCCCTGTCCCCCTTGAGTGTTACAGTGGTAATTCTGACAGTATCTACTGGGGGAGATTTCTCCAGCTTCAGGCTTGGCTGATGGAGATACTGAGGAATACTCAGGCCTTAAGGAAGCCCGAAGTCATTCTCTTCCGTACCCTGCCCTGCCCTACCTGTGCCAGTAGGGCATCCTATGACCTGGAGCCCAGTCCATGCAGCTGTGGGAGGCTTGGAAGGGAACCATGAGAAGTGTGGCAATGGTTCTAAAGAAACAGCCGGAAATAAAGGGAACATGAGCTTAAAAACATGAGCTTAAATTGTCTTGTGTCTTCTGTGATCAATTAGCCTGCTTTTCAATTTGAATCTCAGGGATCTCCAGTTACTGATGTGGGGAACAGAGGCACTTCAGACTCTGATCAATGAGGTTCCAATCCGGGAACAGAAGCTAAGAAAATGAAATCGTTCTTATTTTGATGGATTCTCTCCTTTAACCTCTTCCTGGATATCTGTTATGCCCTTGTCTATTCCTGTGCTGTCCGGTGGGATAATACACACAATATGCACACCCAGGGTCAGGAACATTCTCTGTGGGAGTGAGCCTGAGCAACTAGACTAAAGCCCCTTCTTCCCAGGGTCCGTCACTGCTAACCAATCTGGGACCCAGTTCACTCCTGATGAATGCATTGAATTTCCACAGTTGCTGGCTATTGGCTGTTCCAGAAAAGGAGTTCACTAAAAAGATGTGGCCCCTGCTCTGGAAGGGGCATCCATGCTGTGTGCTGCCCGGAGAGTCAGGGAACCGCCAGTCCATGCCTGCCTTGGGATCTGGAGGCCATAGTGTTTTCTGAACTAAAGTCTGAGCCAGTAAGACACCCATGTTCTCTTAAGCAAAAAGCTAAAATCATTTAGGCTTGTAGCGTATTTTAAAAATGTCCATCCCACATTAAAACAACTCACATCCCCTGACACAGCCACCTCACATTCATGAGAGAACTTCCTACAACATCCCCTATCGAGGAAGTCTGACAGGACATGTTGTGATACTGGCATAGCATCAGGATGAGTAATGGTAAGTACCTGTGAGTAATGGAGTCACAACCTGGGATGAGGGACCCTTCGGAAGGGACCACGGGACCCACTATAAGGACCCCGCTGAAGACCCAGGAGCAATTATGGTTGGGCACAGACCTTAGGCATGAGCTTTTGTTTCCTTTAAGGCATTGATGATGAACATGTTCCCCGGCTTATGGGACCCTTGAAGGACCCAATGAAACCGTGCATGTTTAGGGCTCCACAGGGGGCCTGCTGTATACTAGGAGCTCTATAAATACATCTATTTCTGTTTTTCCTCTTATCAGAAACCACCAACAGTATTCATCCTCCTATCTCACCATCTATTCCTGATGACAGAGAGAAGATCAGGAACACAAGGCACAGGTGGGACTCAGCTTTTCCATGTGACCACCACTTCATCACGGATCTCCCCAACAGCAGAGCTTCAGCTGCCAAGAGAGGGTTTTGTAGGGGGGAGAAGACTGGATTTGTCCCTAACTAGCGATCATGACATACCGTCCCAAGCCAAGCCCCAGCACGGCTCAGGCCTGTAATCTTAGCACTGTGGGAGGCCAAGGTAGAAGGATTGCTTGAGCTAAGGAGTTGGAGAACATCTTGAGCAAGAGGGAGACCCTGTGTCTAGTAAAAATAGTAAATATTAGCACGATGTTGTGGTGCACAGCTATAGTCCCAGCTACTCAGGAGGCTAAGGCAAGAAGGTCACTTCAGCCGAGGAGTTGAAGGTGGCTCTGGGCTCGACTGAGGACATAGCACTCTACCCCGGGCATGGAGAGATCTGCAGTGTCTCTACCAGTATTAAGGTGCAACAAAGAATGCTTGGCACCTTTGTTGCACATCCTCCAGCTCAAGAGGAGGAGAGATACTTTTCCTTTCATAGAGCTCCCGTACCTCTCCACACCTCTATATTTTTGGAAGACAAAGGCATGCAAGGTCAAAGCAAAGAACATACAGATAGAATGTTTGGAAAGAACATATAGATAAAATCTCTGGTGCCCACATGTACTCACCAGCAAATTGGTATTAACGAATTAACACCTAAGTGGACATAGGAGTAACATTTATCTGGTGTCGGGAAGGGGGAGGAGGGCATGCGTATATACAACCACAATGAGGAAAATGTGCAACATTTGGGGGATGGACACGCATTAAGCTCTTACTCAAGGGGGAGGGGGCATGGGCAATAGATGTAACCTTAACATTTGTACCCCCATAATACGCTAAAATAAAACAAAAATCTCTCGTGCCAGTAAACACACTATTGGAAAGAAATCCAGTTAGTGATGTGCAATACATCCATGTTTGTCATGAGATTCCTTGGGACTCCTTCACTCCGTAGAGGAAAGGGCTGGGATTCAACATCAGTCACACTCGCATGAATTCCAAATCCTGCTATAGGCAGCCGAGTGATAAGCATTCATGTCCCAAGTTCTGTCTGCAGGACTGCCACATTTCCACCTTTCTCACAGTCCCTTTACCCAGGCCTTTAAGCCTTTTCGAATATTCTCTACAGGGCAATGGAGTGAGACTATGTCTCAAAGAGAAAAAATAAACATTATTATTTTTTTTTGGTAGAGATGGAAGTCTCTCTATTTTGTGCACTCTGGTCTCCAACTTGTGGCCTTGTGGGACCCTCCTGCCTCAACCGCTCAAGGAGCTGAGATTCACAAGTCTTGAGTCCCTACATCTGGCCAGTTAGGCTTCAATTTTTCCTATTGCAAAGGGAAGTAAGCTGTCTTCACTTTACCACACAGAAACCAAATCCAAATGCGTAGTGCTGAGATATCAGCAGCAACATCCCAGAACTCAAATATGAGGCTGAAACACATTCTGGGACTTCAGAGAATGACAAAACATTGGGTAGACAATTGGAGAACTGACTTCCATATGTAGGGTGACAATACTCGAATCTGCCCACCACTAACCCATGGAAAATTTCTCCCGATTTATAGCTTCTTCACTTGAAATGATGCAATGCAGGTGACAATCAGCTTCCTTACAATCTTGTATTTTCTGGCAGGAGACCTGTCCCTTCAACCCCGGAAAACCATCAGGAGAACATGAAGGGAGAAATACTCCTGAGGACAGCCAGAGACACCGGGGACAGATGGGACTTCCATCCCCAGACCCAGAAACTGCTCTGCTACTTGGGCAAAGGGAAAGCTAAAGACAGTGGCTGTTCAACAGTTCCACACTGTAGGGGGTTTGTTCCACAGGTCCCCTGGGCACAAACCCTTAGCCAGCCTTCCCACACTGCCAGGACTTTTGGGACCTCACCCACGCAGGACAGGTGGCTGTCCTGTTGTACATGGTGTTAGAGCCAAGGCCAATGCTAGCTTAGGGGCTTTCTAGTGCCAAGAAAGAGCCCAAACTCCTGTCCAGCCTTCCCACCCTGCCGCCCTATCCCCTTTGGGACTTTTCCCATTTGAGAGCTCAGAACGCTGAAGAGTTACTCAAACTGAGCAGATCCTGGGCTTAAGGCAGCATGACGGCAGCACACAGAGCACTTTCACTGCCCTAAACCTGCTCTGTTCTCTGCCCATTCATCCCTCCCTCCCACTCACCTCTGTCATCCACTGGGCTTTTTACACTCTCCCTACTTTGCCTTTGCCAGGGGCTCACATGGTGGAAATCACACAGCATGCAGCCTTTCCAGGTTGGCTTCTTTCACTGAGTAACAGCCACTGAAGTTTCCCCATGTCTATTCATACAGTAATAACATTCGATTGTTTGCATGATCAGAGTTTATGCATTCGCCTAATGAAGGGCCTCTTGGCAACTTCCAGTGTGAGCAGTTATGAATAGAGCCGCTGTGACCATCAGGGTGCAGGGCTACTCGCTTCGGTAAAGGGTAAAGAGCAAGACTGCCTGACCGCCCGGAAAGGGTGTGTTGCTAAATGATTTTTTCCCTTAACACACTTACCTGCTGGACAGAGACTGCTCCTTAGAGGGCGAGGACTGTGTCTTGTCACCCTGTGATCCCACAGCCAAGCGGGGAGCATGGCACATGGCAGAATGTTTGATGACTCTACAGGGCAGGGAAATCTTCATCATCAGCTTATAGCCAGTAAAATGCAAATGTGGGAATGTCAATATCAGCCGGGTATCAGTAAGATACACAAAATAGCAGTTGTGACACTGGGGTCACCTCATGTGGCCTACTGTTCAGAAGAGATGCATGTGGCAGAAATTCTCTTGTTTTTCACACCTGTTCCCCTGCTCCAGCAGGACAGCATCCTCAGCGTAAGACACCCCGTGACACGGACACGGCACTCGGGTCTGCCCTTCCCTTCACCCTGGGCTCCTCTGCAGATGGTTCGGTTTAGTTTGCCTTCTTCAGACTTTTCTCTGCCTTCCTGTGCATCTCTATGTGCTCACAGACACATCGCACATTCTACCCTCATAGACACAGTTTCCCACTGCCCCATCCAGCATCTCACTCCTGTCCTCTCAAGTATAGGTCTCAAATGGTTTTCCTCATTCTTTGTAGCTGGCATGTATGATCAGTAGTTTATGCAACGAAGGGTCCACACGCTAGCCTCCTGCGTGTTTATGTCAATGCACGTTCTGCTGGTATTTCGATGACCAAGCACACCGTGTTAATACTAAAAATCACTGTGCACACGCAGGATTCTCTAGCTCCTAAACCCTTTCTTCTGTAATCCTGTCTGAGAGTTCACGTTCATCACCTCACAGACACGCTCCTCACACGCTACAACTTACAAAACAAAAAGCACTAGGAAGGAAAAGAAAACTTGCTCTTGCTGTCATGTGATTCCCCACCACTACATTTTTTCTCTTTAGAGCAAAACTTCTCTAGAGTTCTCAACATCCCTACTGCTACATGCTCATCTTTCATCTCTCTACAATTTTCTTTACAAACAATTCCAAGTACAGGGAACGGTGTGCTGAGAGTCATAGACCACACATGGACACGCACACGCGGCTACACACTCACAATGTCAGCATCTTGCCATGTGGCTTCAGACACCCCTGAGGGGTGACCTCGCAGATTAACCTTCCTGGGTCCCCTTCCTTACTGCGGAAGCCCCTTCTCTTCCTTCCTGCCCAGAGGTCACCTCTGAATTCAATTCGTTTCTATATTATTACCATCCATGTTTTCATTATATTCTTCATACATGTGATCATGAATAAAAGAAATTATTTTCAATGTTGGTAAAATTCACATCGATGTCATACTTTATATATCCTACTCAATGTGCTTTCTCTGGGAAGATCTTCTTTGTCTGAGCTTTGTTTCTATCAATTCAAGTAGATTGAAAACTTCATTGTGTTTTGTTAGAATTCCTGGATACAAAGTTACAAACATTAGGCCAGGCACCATGGCTCATGCCTGTAATCCTAGCATTCTGGGAGGCCAAGGTGGGCTGATCCTTCAAGCTCAGAATTTTGAGACTGGCCTGAGCAACAGCGAGACCCCGAGTCTATTAACAACAACAACAAAAAAAGAAAGAAATTTACTGGACACCTAAAAATATATAGAACAAAATAGCCAGGCATGGTGGTGCATGCCTGTACTCCTAGCTACTTGGGAGGCTGAGGCAGGAGGATCACTTCAGACAGGAGTTTCAGGTTGCTATGAGCTAAGCCAACCCCATGGCACTCTAGCCCCGGCAACAGAGTGACACTCTGTCTCCGAAGCAAAAAAAAAAAAAAAAAAGAACGAGGATAGAAAAGAAATACAAAGATAGTGGTTCTAATACTGGAAAGGAAAAGTTAGCTAAGAGGTGATAGGGAAACTAACATGGCTTCTCTTTACACCCCAAATTTGCCAGTTATCAATGCACAAAGCGAGATTGCTTAGCCACACAACTGTTTTGATTTTAGGACTGGGGCATGCTGTTTATTTTAAGCAATCACTTTTTTTCTTTTTTGAAACAGAGTCTAGTTTTGTTGCTCAGGCTACAGTGAGTGCCCTGGCGTCAACCTAGCTCACAGCAACCTCAAACTCCTGGGCTCAAGCGTTCCTGCTGCCTCAACCTCCCGAGTAGCTGGGACAATAGGCACGGGTCACCATGCTCAGCGAATTTTTTCTATATATATTAGTTGGCCAATTAATTTGTTTTTTTTTTTTAGAGACGGGGTCTCGCTCTTGCTCAGGCTGGATTCAAACTCTCGACCTCGAGCAATCCTTCTGCCTCGGGCCTCTCAGAGTGCTAGGATTACAGGCAGGCTTGAGGCACTCCGCCCAGCCAGGAATGAATTCTTGACTCTCATCCTATCCCTAATTCTTTCAGTTTCATGATTGGATATCTGATTCTGTCATTCAATATGGATAAAGCCAAAAAAGTCCATCAGGGGGAGCTGGGTGGAGCTTCAGGAATCTCATCAAATACCACATTCTGATTGGAAGCTGCTAGTTGAAAAGGGGAGGAGTAATTGGAAAGGTCAATGTGAGCTCCTGAAGATCCACAGAGACCCCAAAGCCCTAGAGACTTCTTCCACGTTTGGTAAGTCAGCCACCTCCATAGGGACCGTCCCATCTCATCTACAGTCACGCAGCCTGAGGTAGGAGATCTCTAGATGAAACAAAGAAGTACCCAGTCATTTTTTCTTTAAATGTAGTCTTGTCTTCATTGCAAAAATTCTGATTCATGATTTGCTTTACCTCACTTCAAACTTCTTTTATTTTATTTATATTTGAGAATACTATGTGGGTAGGAATGGGGAAAGAAGACTCTTCCTCTAGCCTGGACTCAAACTCCTGGCCTCTAAGAGTCCTGCCTGAGCTTCCCAAAGTATTCATTTTGGCATATGTCACGGTGCTCAGCCAAGATATCCTTCTAGTAATCCCCAGCCCGAATGTGTGAACTGGGATCCCATGGTTCTAGGGATTAGGAATTTCTTCTCCAAAAGGGTGGATGCTAGCTGCCAGCCTGCTCAGCCACACTTCCCGTGGTTCCGGGATTTAGTGGAGCACTGAGTGAAAATCAGTGGGTTAGTGGCCAAGGCATCCCCTCCTTGGTAGTTAAGAGACAGTCCTCCTGTTGGCAGAGCTACGCCTTTATGGCCATGCAGTACAAAGTGCAATTGGGAGACTGTGAACTGGTCCACCTATGTAACACCAGGAACATCGGCCCTAGGAGAAGGTGGGGTGATCAGGACTGGACGGCAAAGGATGCCTTTTCTATGGATTTATCTTGAGGACTTTTTTCTTGCAGATTTTGATCAGGATGAGCCTCCAGGCCCCACCCAGACTCCTGCAACTTGCAGGGCAGAGCCTGCTGAGGGACGAGGCTGTGGCCATCCGTGATGTAAAGGAGCTTCCAAGTGACTTTTTCCCTCAACTATTCATGGAGGCCTTCACCAAGAGACAGAGAAAAGTCCTTACTGCCATGGTGCAGGCCTGGCCCTTTACCTGCCTGCCTCTGGGGTCCCTGATGCTGACCCTTGACCTGGAGACCCTAAGAGCTGTGCTGGATGGGCTGGATGTGCTGCTGGCCCAGAAGGTTCGC